ATGGAAACCGAGGACAAAAATAGCCGGGGCCCAGTTGGGTTGCCCAAGTGGGGCCCAAATATAAAACCCGATTTTACCCATCTGGGCCCTACAAACATTTGTTGGCTAGGTCTGATTTGAGGCCCACACAAGGCCCATCATAAACCCATCTGGGCAAACACACTTGGGGCCACCATGGAAACCGAGGACAAAAATAGCCGGGGCCCAGTTGGGTTGCCCAAGTGGGGCCCAAATATAAAACCTGCTTTAACCCATCTGGGCCCCACACGTTTGTTGGCTAGGTCTGATTTAGGGCCCACCCAAGGCCCATCATAAACCCATCTGGGCAAACACACTTGGGGCCACCATGGAAACTGAGGACAAAAATAGCCGGGGCCCAGTTGGGTTGCCCAAGTGGGGCCCAAATATAAAACCCGCTTTTACCCATCTGGGCCCTACACACATTTATTGGCTAGGTCTGATTTGGGGCCCACCCAAGGCCCATCATAAACCCATCTGGGCAAACACACTTGGGGCCACCATGGAAACTGAGGACAAAAATAGCCGGGGCCCAGTTGGGTTGCCCAAATGGGCCCCAAATATCAGCCCAGCTACTCCCCATTTGGGCCCCACATGTGTGTGTTGGCTGGGATCTGCTTCCTGGAAAAGAAACGGAGAAAAGTACAACCTTGAACACTTTCATAAGTAAATATTTACGCATACTTTTATTGTAATCACACCCTTGTGTGAAGAAAAAAACAGTGAAAATATGAATGTTTTTATTACTGTTTAATGAACATTTCTTTTCCAGGAATAGTGTTATTTACTGAAAATAAGATGAACAAATGCTAAAAAGTGTAACATTAATTGAATTATTGGATCCTTGAAGCCAAAGAGAAAAACATAACCTTTGAAAAAAACTGAACTTTTTATCCTTATTTATCTTTTCCCATGAAGAAAAATAATTTTAGTAAGCAAAAAATACAATTTAGTTTAGTTTATTTATATAGCGCCAAGTCACAACATATATTGTCCTATTCTGAAATAACAACAATTAAACCACTAAATAACCACAATCCAGAAACGTCAACATTTTCTTTTGTTTTATCAGGACAAATAAGTCTGACAGCAAAAAAAAAAACTGACTGAGAAGCTGCAGCAAAAGTGAAATTTATACATGTCAAGTTGTACAGATTGTAATTTACACAGATTTTCCCTTATTTTGCAGGAAATTAAAGGGAGCAATATCACAGATTTCTTCAAGTTTTACAGATTTTTTGAAAAACTCAGTTTCAAATTAATTTTACAATTTTCCTGCTTTGTGCTGCAGATGCTGTCATCCCAGATGCCTGCACCCCCCATACCTCTGCGCGCGTGTGTCTAATACAGATTTTCTGTGAAAATTACAAATTTTAGAGACTCTTTACAGCTACAGGTAAATGTTTGAAGGGGTTGACATGAAATTCTGTGTATAACACAAAGGATCAGAACCAGAAGTCCCAGAAAAAGATCATTTGAAAAAATAGCTTTTTCAGAAGCAAGTCACAAGCACAAAACAGTCTGTCACAGCAAGCACTCGACTCCCAAGACATTAAAGTACCAGAATTTTTATTGCCAAATTAGTCTATGACATATACTGTAATTAAGCACAACCACAACTGACGTCAACAAAATGGCAGGATTACTTTGGGTACAAATTATTAAGATCTACAAAAAGATGACACAAAAAGGGTTCAATAGACCTGTTACTTAGATGTGGGTTTCACAAGAACTTAATTGTGACAATATTGACTCACTGCTATATTCTAATACAGTGGTTCCCAAACTTTTTATCTTCTGTCCCACAAAATATCCATGGCCAAAACTTGTGACCCCAGATATTACTGGTCTGAGTACACGAACTTCGTTAATAACCCTAAAAACAGGCTTTTTGGCAATCTAAACAGGTTGTACACAAATATAAATACTTATTTATACTTATTTTGTGTTTTTATAATAGTTATAGGGAAAATATTACATCAGCAATTATTTTATTACCCTTTACATTGATCTCTGGAGATAATCCAAGGTGCTTCATGACCCATATTTGGGTTCCAAGCCCAACTTTGGGAACCAAAGTGCAGTGGTTCACAAACTTTTCAGCTTTTGACCCACAAAATAACAGTAGCAGAGACCTGTGCCCCCAACTATATTTGGATGGTAAACATTTGCATTAGGCCAACTAAACATGGGCATAGTAACAATATTTTTTATACTACGATACATTTATCCATTTTAAATACACTAACCTCACTCATTTGTAACAATTAAGGCAAAAATGTAATTAATTC